CATATAAATTACTGCTTAATGGCTTAGAAACAGTCCTAGTTGGTGAGGGGACAGTCAGTTCTGTGTGGGGCGGGAGTGGACAAGTGTTGGCTGTGTTGGCTGCTGTTCTGGATGACCTGCAAGTTGCATCTTTTGGCATGTCTGTCTCTGCAAGAAAAGCTGGCTCTGGAAAAACGGATTCCTTACTCTTCATTTTTCTGCAACAGTTAGTTTCTTACAGTAAAAATGATTCTTTATGTCAGACTCTTTGGCTAAAATCTCTTTGGCCATCGCTTGAACATTGATCTTCATATTTGACTACACTTAACTACTTAAATACTACTGCTATTATGCTATATTATATACTAATACAACTGAAGGAGGAACTTGTTCTACTTTACAACATTCACAGGGCAAACTTTTTTTTTTTTTTGTTAGATTTAAACTGGGATTTTGTTGCCTAAGTGTAGGGGTCAGTGCCATTTCAGATGCCATAGGTATGTGAGACATCTGCAAACAATTCAGCTCCAGGAGGCAAATGCTTTTCTGAAGCAGCAGTTGGAGCCCAGTTGGACAACTGGTGGTAAAGAAAATGGAACAATATGCCCTTGTTCAGACAACATAATCCAGCCCAGTTTCAGAATTAGCTGGCTTTCTTGTGGCATGCTACTCTATTAATGATTCTCCAAAGTGGCTAAAGAAAGTATTTTTCTTGTTAACTCATGTTCTAGTTTTCATGCTACACATTTTGATTACATTTGTTAGCTAGTGAGTCAGTGGAAACTTATTTTATTTCAGTGATGCTCTAGTAATGCCTCTCAAAACATGACACCTGAGAGAAATGTCCTGTTGTACCTGTTTTGTAGGAGAGATCTCTATTCACACCAAAAAGGGGCCTGCTAACCAAAAATACTGTCCTCACCTTTTTTATGTTCACAGGTTTTTAACTAAATCTGCAGATTTTCAGCTAAGTCTGGGCTGTGTGACCTTCCAGCTGGAAATCTGTTGCTGGCCTGCTCTTTGAGATAGGTTAGAAATGCTGAATTTTGAAGGACACAGCTTTTTGCTGCAGCTCTGACTAGCAACTTGGTGGACTACAGGTTGATTCTTAAATTGTAGGCTATAAGTTGATTCTATGCATAGGCTTAAATCCAAACTTTCTGCTTGTAGGCCTTAATTACTGAAGAAATGAATTGAGATTTACTGCATACCATTAGGAAGTTCAATTTGTAAATTTTGTAAATCATTCTTTCAGGAAGTATGTCTGAAGGAAACATTTTTGGGGAAGAGGGAGTACTTCTGGGTAGTGAACTTCAGAGTTCCCAATGCAACCATCACATCATTAGTTACTCTGATAGCTCCGCTGATCCTGGAGGGCGATAGCGCGGCGTTCATTTCTGTGCTGCCAACTCGTGTCTAGTGCAAACAAGGCCATTAACCTGATACTTGCACAGATTAAAGTGGATTTTTTTTTTTTTTAATTGGCTATGAATTTCTCAGAAGTGGGTTTTAAGCTTCTGGTGGTTCAAAGAGCTATAGAAAAATGATAGCTGGGAGGAATTCCTGCAAGTAGTCCTCAGACTTCTTCTGCAAAGCAGGACTGACCTCAAAGTTTAAATTGGCTGCTCCGGCTTGTGCTGCTGAAGCTGCTCTGGTGAGAAACTGCAGGTTCTGCCTCTGCACAGGCCAAGGGTTTTACCTGACCTAGAAGGTGAGGAGGCTCCATCCCTGGCAGTACCTGCTCACTGGGGTTACTTCTCCATCACCTTCGGAACGTGTGGCTCGTGGGCCACAGCCAGGGCTCTTCCTGACATCTCAGCTGCCCTTTGCTCAGATGCCCTTGCTGATACTAATGGCATCCTCCTTCAGGGAAAAGAAGGGAATTAGCATCCAGAGTTAGAAACTTGGAAATTAGAGGAAATTTTTGGAGAAAATGAGCATACAAAGGAAGGAGCAAACTTCAGGGAGGATTGTGAACAAGAGGGTTTCAGATGTTCACGTGTCCTTCCCTCCATTCCTCCTCGCTTCTGTCCCTGCTCCTGGATCTGACATTGCCTCTGTTCCCTCCCAACTAGGGCAAGTAGTTGAGGCTACAGCCTCTCTGGCGTCTCCGTAAACTGCTACAAGTGCCACCATCACCATCTTGCAGGTTCTCTCAGAATTGGGATGCTTTATATTTAAGTGGCTTCTCTTTTCACTGAATTGGCTTTAATCTTCAATTTTTCCAGACTCACTCCACTTTTCTACTTAAAAGGGAAAATGTTCCATGGCTTTCTGCTGTATGTTTTTCAGCGACATTCCTATGTTATTGTCTCGATGCATCTGAAAGCATTTTCTGTGATGGAAGTGATGTGCTGTAGTCGCGGTTCCTGGGGGGCTGATGCTTCCAAGCGGTGCCGGTTCTGTCAAAGCCTCTTGGCCGCTTCCCGGCAGCGAGGCCGGGCTGTGTAGGTGGAGCGGGAGCAGCCCTGGCGAGGTTACCGTCTGTGGGGGCTCCAGCGGGTAGAGGGTTTCCGTTGCCGGCGTTCGCTTTGAAGCCGGGGCTGGGCGCCACTCCGCGAACACGGCTCCCGTGCCGGGGCCCGGAGCGGGGCGACCCGCACCGCCCCGCCGCGAGGAGGGGCCTGTTCCGCGTTCCCGCTTGC